ATTGACTTGCAGCATTCACTAGGTTTCCTTAGATAGAGCCACTAAGTTACTTTGAATAATTGAGCATACTGTACTGTTTGATAACTAGTTTCAATCGGAATGTATATATGATTGAATTGAAAGCATTTTTTGTAAAGTGCCTCAAGACAACATTTGTTGTGAATTGGTGTTATATAAATAAAATTGAATTGGATTGGAATGTTCTTTAAATAGTTACCAATTGTTAAGTCTGTGAAGCCTGTGTGACGTACAGTCTCGGGCTGCTTAGATTGTGGATGTCTGCTTGAAGTGATGCATCCACACAGGAATAACACTTTTAACATTTTAACATTTAAAGACACAGCGAAAGATTACCAGATGATTTTCCTGTCATTCTGTCCTCAAAAGTTCTTTCACTGTGTATTTTTTTTCAGATCTGAAACCAGTTATACCTCACAGAGTGTCGAGCAGAAAATGGGATCCTTTCAACCTAAAAAACCTTATATCTGCAAGGATCCAACAAGATCATGTACAAGCCAGTGATCTTCTTAATGAACAGATCCGTGGACTGGATCTCCCAAACCAAACAGGAACACAATCTAAAGGTCCTTTCCTTCTCACAATCAAACAAGAATGCAACAATCGCTATTTTTAGATTGTCTCTCTCTCTCTCACTCTCTGCCTCTTCTATTACCTCGTTTTCAGGTTCTCCATGTTTCTCGACTATTTCTTCTTTATTTCCACGAGCCATTTTCAATTATTATTATTCAAAGATGCTTCATGTCAACATGGTCTCTGCCTACTGTAAACATGGTAACTCACTCAGCTGAAACAATGGCCTTTACAATCCTGCACATTAAAATGGGGGAGGAACATTTCTGTCTCAAATGTCCATATATGGGGCTGAACAGACCTACTTGCTCTGGTTAAGCCTTCATGAATTTAAATGCAATGCAGCCTGTTTGTTCAGGGGGTGAAATGGTAAAATGTGCTTTACATAAAATTTCAGACCCTGATCTTCTGGTTTATAAAGAGAGTGTTTCTTTCTTTGTTCTCTCACACTTACCACATTCATGTCAGCTGACAATGCAGCGAACTCAGTCTGCAGCTTGTCCGTGTCAGTGATAAAGCATTAAGTACCGTGTTCACACCTGGTTTCACTGCTTATCTGTGTTGATCTGATCACAAGTGGGCAGCTCTAAATACATGTTCTCACAACTTGCAGTAATGAATCTCCACTCACACCCATTACTGACCTGACTACAGCTCCCCACACAACCTGCGTTTGTCATGCAGACAAATACTTGCTGTTTTTGTCTGGACATTGGCATCAGTTTTGGATAAGCATCACTTTTGTACCATATTTCTTGGGAAAAAAATGAGAATTTGTAAATTCCACACCTCTAACAAGAGGAGGAGACCAGTAGAGGCATATGTATCAACCAGCATTTCTAGGATTCATGTATCCCCTAGCTTTATTAACAACAACATAGATATAAAGACAATTAGTTAGCTATTGGCTAATTAGGGGTTGTCTTCGAGTTACCTATCCAAGTCAACTCTAAAATCTTTGAGAGGCCAGTCCAACTCAAGTCTAAATCTTTTGAAAGGTGAATCTAACTCTAGCCTCAGGTCTTCCTCAGATACAAACCATCTGCTGTTCCTGCAGCCTGTGATGCTGTAGGTTAGGAATCCAAACCTGTACAGTTTGACCTTAAGATTTATTTATGCTTGTTGATATATCTTAAAAGTTTTAATGTTTTGATATTTAATTCAACATGTAGACAATTGTTGTGAGTCCATTTTTAATAAAGTGCTAAAGTATTCAAAATAGCAATGTGCATGTCTCTTGAAAGAAACTGAATAAAAAGAGAATAACCCGCTGCATTTTCATTTCTGCCCCTATAGTGATGTAGTTAATCCGTGTGGTCACATTGTCCCAACCTTTACTCTACTATAGTTCACTATTATTTGTTATTCTAAGTCAGGTGATTTTTAAGATTGTTAGGAAGCCATGTTCTGAGTCAAAGTCTGAAATAGTTTTTATCAGGGCTAAACAGTAAAGGTGCCCCATGCTAGAAATGACAACATAATACAGTGCATCACTTACACACAGGCTTACCTGACCTTCTGATTGTATAAGATAAAGATCATTAATAAGACTCAAGTCTTGGACCTCAAGACCAGTTCGAGTTTCAAACTTTCTGTGCATCAGTCCAAATTGAGTCTTTGCTTATGCAAAAAATATTAATTTTGACTTTGAAACTCAACCAAAGCCCCACTTCACTGTGACTCTCCTGTCCTCCCAATCCACTACTGATAAGGACACTAGTCTCATCTTGCATTTTCTATAAAATTTCTTCTGATTTCTTCAAAAGAAAAATAATCAAACCACAGCTTGGCAAGTCAGGAGAACCTAATACAGTTTAAATTGGCTAGAATTAAGAAGAGTATAACAGAGAAAACTTAACATCACAGTCAAGTCTTTACCTTTAAGACTTGCTGATTTAAAGGTAAAATTCACTTCAAAGTCCGAATGTTTTAAATGGAGAGGACTTGATTGTGTGACCTGTTAGAAAGTGGTTACAACAGAGAGCTGGAAATTCCTCTGCTATGAGTCAGCTGTCTAAATATGGTTCCTGGTCTTCATCATTACACACCCATCCACTCCCAGTGCAGAGTTGGACACCTCTTCTTTTTCATTTAACCTTTCACTTTTATCCTCCTTCCAAACAGAGATAAATAACACCACACTGTGCTACAGTAGCAGAGAGTTGATTTGGTTTACAGGATCCTCTTGTAAATTCTTTACAAACCAACTGAAAAGGTGAAACATCCTCAAAAATACCCAGGAGGCATTTTGGATTAAGTGGTAACAGTTAGTCAGTGAAAGTCAGCGTTAATAGTTGCCTGTCCCAAATATTTCTGCTCTGTCTCTGTGTGTCAGTTTGGGGAATTTAAAGTGTGACAGTCACAGGAGTGACACAAATTTGCCTGTTTAAGTAAAATCAAGTCATATTCAGAGGTCCGTCTTTATTTAATAAAGTGTCACATGACACCCTGGGCACGTGCCTTTGCTGCCCATATCAAAAACTGGCTGTGTTTGGGAGAAAAGTCACAAGAAAGGGAGGGGCTCTTTGCTAGTTCAGTTAGAGGAAACTTCAGATCATTCTCTGGCTTCTTCTTAAAAAGAACTGTGAACACGGTTAGCATTGGTATATAACACTGTTTATATAATAAAATGTTAATTTTTAAAATGTTTGTGTATCAAGGCAGAAATCACAACTATGAGCTTTCCAGAGGGATGAGGAGAAAAAGCTATAGAGACAGGAGTGATGTACACAGGATATAACATCTGGCTATTTAGTGTCTTCATTAAAATAAGTAAGTAACAGGTTCATCAACAGTGTTCATATCAACTTAGTGATTCCACATTTAGTGAGTATTAGGGAGCAATCATGAGTCTAAATCATTCTTTATAAAGATGAACGTTCCTCTGGTGATGAATGTGTTTCCATACCAGTTGGATTTTGAAACAATGTGTTTTCTAAAGAAATAAAAAAAATGCACATAAAATTGAAAGCAGAGCAGCGAGCACATGCATGCACGTGTGCGAGCACATTTAATGATGATGAATTCTTTGTTTTCTGGCAACCATAAATAAACTCAGTGTTTTGAGTTAGTCAGGGAGCCCACAACAAGCATCTGGGGCGGAGTTTGCCTCGCCACAGAGCCTAACTCTAGCAAAATCCCCAAATGTTTATAGTTTTTTGACTATTGGATGTTTTAAATAGGCTGCATTGGAAACTAGAAACCCACAGCTTTATTAGATTCCAGTCTTGAGGAGATTTATTACGTTCACAGATTGAGAAACAGTCAAGTTATTGAGTTGTTCTCAGCCTTAAGGCTCTTCCCTGCTCATCTGCAGTTTATTAAACATTCTGTCTTATGCTGCCGTGTCAGTTTACAGAAACTTTGGGCACAGTGAAATGCTGAACTCTGTCTCACAGTCAGTCTGTTACCTAATGTGAAATGTGCTCTAGCTGCTGGAGCGACTTGGAGGGAGGCAGAGAGAGCGAGAGAGTTCCAAACCATGATGTTTGAGTCAAGGTTGGAAACTCTGAATGTTCTTGCACTACAGTTCACACACACACACACACACACACACACACACACACACACACACAAACATATGCATGTGTGCACAGACGCAATGAACTCACAGTCTAAAAAAAGTTTGGGTTTCCCTCAGCTTCCCTCACAAACGGTTCACCCTGTCTTGAAAAAAGAAAAACTGTCATCACATCATTTAAGATGCAGATTGTCGTTTCATTTTAATGTTCTTGGGGCATATATAGGACAAACGATCTCATTGAGTTTTATATAAATTTTTGAGAAATGCACTTTGTACAAACTTATTAGTTATGAGTAGGGGTGGGGGTGTTCAGATTGGGAGCACGCCCATCACACGCCCACACACCTATATACACAGACATACACACCCAAATCTGCGTTTGCATTCTGTCTGACCACACAAAGTGCCAGAATCTGTCAGAAGTCATAACAACCTTTAAGTCTGACTTAAATAAACAAATCACTTATTAAAGAGAAAAAGTGTGAGAGAAAACATGGGCTCATGATGGGTTTCATTTGTAATTCTTCTCTGTGAGTTCTTGCTGAGCTTATTGCAGACTAATAGTTTTGCACACACTTGGATGTCATATTAAAATTAGTTCTGTGCTTCATGATTTTTAAAGGTGCAGAGGAAGGGCTTCAGGTAACAGCAGAGAACCTGGAGCCCCTCCCTGAAAACAAAGTGGGATCATCTTCAGGAACCTTGTCCTGTTTCATAAACCACACCTGAATCAGTTTTTTTTTATTACATAAACTAGACTCCAGAGTATCAGCTCCTCATCATTCTGTTCAGTGCACCAGTGTGCCACACCCATTTCTCATGTCAGGCTCTGACAAACAGCCTGATGTTTCAGAAACCTCAGTAAAGCATGCTAACACTCTCCCACCTGGTACACCATGACTTTAAAGTTGCGCCTCTTCAGCAGCTCTGCCTCGTTGTTCTCCAGCTTCTTTATCTGGCCGCCTTGCTTCTCCAGCGTTGCTCGGACGGTCTTGACGTTGATGCTGACCTTGCGCACCTTCTCCATCATCTTATTGACACTGTTGGATGTGGTGCTGTGGTTCTTGCTCAGCTTGGTCAGCTCTCCTTGGATGCTGGTCACCGTGCGTTCCATCTCCTGCTGTCTGGTCTCCAGCCCGCTCTGGGTCTGCTGGATCTGGTCCACTGCGCCGATGATCTTGTCAAGCAAAGACAGAACCATCACGCCATTTACTTGCGTGTCTGACGCTTGCACCTCATCCTTGTCTTCGTTCGTCTCTTCCTCTGTGCCCATGACATGCAGGTCTTTCTTGGCAGCAGCAAGGGCATTATCTTCTTCATCAGAAGCTGGCAAATTGAGCTCATCGTCGGAGACTTCAGTCAGGGTCTGAGGCTCCAGCATGGCACTTGAGGATTCCAGTGCTTCCATGGTTGCCATTTTGACTAATTTGAGGAGCTGAAACTTGCTTAAGCTTTCTCAAATATCTAAATTCTTGCCCTCACACCAGGTTCTTCTTTTTCGTTTGCTCTTTACTTCTCCTTTTTCTGCAGCATGCAGCCCGTTTTAATGCTTTTCTGTATTCCACAAGTTCAAATCCGTATGGAGAAGAAGACAAGCAGTGCTGGATGTCACCACATAAGAGTTGTGGCAGAAAACCCCAGCATCAAACTACAGCCTGCAGGGTATTTTCTCTCCAGCCCCTTTTTCCACTGGACTCCCCCGTCTGCTCAAGCTCCTCCTTTATCTCCTCCCAAGACTCAACCTCTCCATGAGTTAACGACACACCCTCCTGGTCTGCCTTTGTGCTGTTGACATGGCTGGAACAGCTAGCAGAGCTGCAGCAGTATGCTGGGATACAAGCCAGGGCACAACTCAGGAGGAATGTTAGGCCACATCTGCTCTCGTTTCCTCTTCTTTCTTCATGCCCTGCAGAGTTCCTTCTACAAAGGCAAGGCAGGGCTTGACTCATCATGGACCACAGCCACCAGTGAGAAGAAAAGACAAAACAAACTCAAATTTAAAACAAGCAGTGGTTTTATAGTAAAAGGTCACGCTTGTGGTGTCAATGTGTTGATCAAATGGAACCTAAGCTCTTAGATTATCTAAATAAAATTGAATGCAGAAACAGTCTGTAAAATGCTGAATATCAGAAGAATCAGACACTTTTTTTTTGCTTTCAGATCCAGAAGCTGGGCTGCACAATGGTGCAGTAGGTAGCACTGTTGCTTTGCAGCAAGAAGGTCCTGGGTTCAATTCCAGGCTCAGGGTCTTTTTGCTTGGTGGGTTCTCTCTGGGTACCTCGGCTTCCTTCCACAGTCCAGAAATATGACTGTTTCTTCCACAGTCCAGAAATATGACTGTTTCTGGACTGTGGAAGGTTAATTAGTCTATCTAAATTCTCCTTAGGTCTGAGTGTACCTCATCACACAGAGGTTATGAAAAGCAGACTTTAGTCCAGAGAAATAAGGCAAAAGGCAACTTAGAAAATGTCTGCTGCAGTATTTCACAAACCTAGTGGGAGTTCTCTGCTTCCACAAAACTGCTCAATGATACTTCACCAGTGTCCTGCTTTAAACCCTGCACAGGTTGGAACTCTTATATGGAAATGTTTGGACAAGACTAGTCTTTTATTTAGTAAGTAATGTTAAAAAAATAGAGACTTAAATCAGAAAGTATTTCAATGCTCTGAAAGTATTAGGAGCATTTCTGAACTGTTTCACAATACAGCTTCAGTAAGTCTTTAGTCTGGATGGATGGATGATTACATTGTTTCTCATTGTACACAAAGAGCCATCTCGGTGCAGCAGAAATAACTTGCTGATAATTGGTTGTTATTTGCTGATATGTATTTATGATCAGACTGAGCTATAACACAAAGAATAGATTAAATTGGTAGGATCAGATTGTAACTATGGTAACACAATAATCAAACAGTAAATGTTAGGTTCTGGGTGGAGGTTGGGGTTGGTTTTCTCCTCTAGATGGAGTCCTGGAGACGGCTGCACGGGGGACGGACCTGTTACGTCATCTTCACGCCGGTTGGCAATTACGCCCTTACCTGCAGCTTAAGAGAAGCGGTCTGCCACACTTCAACGCCAGATTGTTGACTAGTTATGGTACTCTCTTGGCCCCTCTTGTTCTCCTTTATTGCTGTGTCTCCCTAGTGCTGCTCTCCGAGTATCCGACCCTTTGATCTCTGTTTTTTGCAGACTTAACCCGAGTATCCGGATCTGGACGTCCGCTCCCCTTGGCCCCTCGTGACGCTGGCGGGAGTTACCCGTCAGATGCCCGAGTCCCCTTGCAAGCTGACCGTTGAATCCATCTCCACCCTCTCACGTTGGCAAACCGCCCGCTTAGACGCTCTCAAGCCCTGACCGACCTGTCCATCCTCCAACGCCGCCACACCGACTCGAGTCAAGCGCTGCTCCTTCCTTCCGTTAAGGACCCGACGCTTCCAAGCAAACGCTCCCCCCGCGAAGACCAAGGAAACTGAAACCCAGAATCTCTACTCCCTCCTAGGTGTCACTATTACCACCACACCCTGTGCTGTTGGTGCTGCTGCCCCCTGCTTGAACCAGTTTTTTCCCCCTGCATACAATAAACCTGTTAAACTTTTCTTGTTCTCCTGCCGGTGTTCTTGCATGTGGGTTTATCGTATCACACCCGACATGACAGTAAAGATGATTACAAAGTATACTTTTACAAAGTAAACTCGCCAATTCCGTTGCATTTTTGCCAATTAGTTTTTTTTTTTAGCTATCTATGCTGAAAGTGTCAAATCAAATTTATTAATATTTTCATCCTCGATAAAAGTAAAAATTGAGATCTGTGTTAAAATGCAAGTCTGTATGGGAGGCCCCATGTGGCTTGGGGGACCTTTGTTTGCTTGTGCCTTGGGCCAGCTCTGCTTATATCAATAGTTAAGGATAATGATGGTATCATGGTGTGGGTATATTTACTTGGAAAACTCTGGGCCCCTTCACACCAGCTGAGCATCATTTAAACCATAGGAGTACTGATAGTGACCGTGTCCATTCCTGACCCTTCCTCTGATCCATCAATTCCAGCAGAATAAAGATCAAAACCAGGTTTGTGTCCTGAACTCACCATCATGTCACCACATCTCAGCGAAGAAACCTGAGGATGTGGAGGAACAATTCTCATCATGGATGTTCAGCTAACAAATCTGCAGCAATTGGGTGATGCTATCAAGTCAATATGGACCAAAATGTATGAGGAATGTTTCTGACATCTCGTTGAATAAATGCTGTAAAGATCTCAGGATGTTCTGGGCCCACAGAGAGGGTCCAACCCGGAACTGACGTGGTATACCTAATAAACTGGCAGGTGTTTGAATATTTATTTAGTTATTTATTTATTTACAGTTTGTGTGGAACTGCATAAATCAATTCTCCTTTCCGGTTATAATTTTCGAAATAAAATAATTTCTAAATTTGATCTATTGCCAGCATCGTTTCGCTCAGCAGGAAGCGACAAATAATGTTATAATACTCAGATGTGTTCAAATAAATATGAATACATATACCATAATAGGAGGTAAATATTAGACTTATGACTGGTAATTTATATATATATATATATAAACACTTGGTGGTTTTATTTTGAACCTCCCCGCTCGGTCTGATGGATCAGCCTAACGTCCCGCGGAGCGGAGCAGCATCCAGCATCCAGCATCCCTTACGTCTTGACAGGCAGTAGGAAGAGCCGCTTCTCCTGGAGCCGGAGCTGCTGGTGGGATCTTCAGGCTGGGAAGCTTGATACATGTGAGTATTTCGAGCTGTTTTCTAGCGTCAGACATTCTCGGGGCTTCATAGATAATAAGCCGTGGGAAGTGCGTCACTCACATATTTCCTCTGTGTCGGAACACAGTGACTACATGGAGACTAGAGGGAAAACCCTCTATCTCAGCGACAGCTGAAGTCCTAAATACCGGCAACTATAATGGTTTTACCAGGTATGAGGTTCGGTTAGTGCGCTGATGGAGAATCAGCGCACTAACCTGATTCTCCATCTCTGAATTGTGAGAGAGTGCGCCGAAGTGAGGATAAGGATGGCAGGCTGCAGCATCATGGCGTCCTTGAGCGCTGAAGGGCAGAGCTGCAGCGGGAGGGATGCTGGGACATCAGGCGGCCATGATGCCGGGTTCTGTGGGACAGGTTCTGGTTTTCAGAACCGGTCCGATCATCAGGAGCTCACACTGAAAAAAAAAAAAAAAATTGAACGGAATTCTAACGTAAAAAACAATTATAATTTGTTTCTTGTAATCGAATTAAGTGTATCTAAGTAAATCATTTAACAAGCTGTAATGTTAAACAAACGTAATAAAAGTATGTTTGACAAACTCAGTTCGATTACACTGTTTTTTTAGTTGTACCTCCATTCTGTTTTTTCACTGCATGGAAAGAAGATGTGGCTGAATGTATCTGAGCTGTGTTTTCTAGTTTGCTGACTCCAGTCTCCTTGTTCTCAGTGTGTCACTATTGTAGCTGAGTTGGTGTGTGACGGTCACCATGGGGGAACTGTTCAGAAGTGAAGAGATGACACTGGCCCAGCTCTTCCTCCAATCTGAGGCTGCCTACTGCTGCGTCAGCGAGCTGGGAGAACTGGGCATGGTCCAGTTCAGAGATGTACGGTCATAAATCCTAAATCCTGTTCCACATAAATGAATACGTTTCAGACATTACTAGCATTTCCATTTGACTGAGTTGGTGATAATCATTTGTCATGGAGATGTCATTTGTTTTGTGTTGCACAGCTGAATCCAGATGTCAACGTATTCCAGCGCAAGTTTGTGAATGAAGTGAGAAGATGTGAGGAGATGGACAGGAAGCTAAGTGAGTAAAGATCACACCGAGTTGCTCTCGTTAATTAAGATCTGAAACCTGAAATTCAACTTTGAATTAGAAAGTTACAATAGTATCAGCCAGATATGTCTGAATATACTAGCCACAGTAATCTTAGTTCATATGTATATGTGTGTGTGTGTGTATATATATATATATATATATATATATATATATATATATATATATATATATATATATATATATATATATATATATATACACACACACTACTCTTTAGAAGGTAATGAAAGACATAGATATCTCAAACATGAATAATTTTGATAATCCTAATTGACAGTAGGTAAACTTATTCTGATTTACACCAGAAAATGAGAAATAAAGTTGTTTTTTAAAAGGCTGAAATTCTAACCCATTAATTTTGATTAAATAATGTTAACACAATTAATTTTTTTGTCTTCTACATACATAAATCCCTAGTTGAAACCTTTGAATTGTGTTGCTGGTAAAAAAAAAAAAAAAAAAAAAAAAAAAAAAAAATTTGTTTGGCCCCGGGAAAAAAAATTTTTTTGGTTAAATTTTTGCCCCTTTCCTGAGAG